TCACCTTGGGCTTTCTTCCCAAAATTTCAGAAGTGGCTTGCCATTGTCTCCTCCTTGGGGCTAAGAGAGATTGACTGGCTCAAGGTCACCCACTGATTTGTGCCTAAGGCAGGGCTAGGTCTCCCGAGTTTCAAACCATGATGCCTTAACCAAACAGGTTAAATGTATGTGATGACATATAACTGATTGTGTAAAAGTGAAGAGGCCAACAGTAATAGTAAAAAAGAGCAACTTTAGAATTCAAGTCTGGCATGCCTTTTCTCTGATAGTATTGAAATGAACAGAAAGAGAACCAGTTGGTTCTAATGGTTAAGGCCCCAGGCTAGAACCTAGAGCCTGTGATTCTAGTCTTGTTTGAGGTATGAAAACTGACTGGGTGACTCTGGGTCACTCATTCTCAACTTACAATATCAGGTTCAATTAACAAGCCAGTCAGATAATTCCTGTCACAACCAATGGATCAACACTGAGAATCTGGGGGGGGAGGGGGAAAGCCCACTCTTATGGGAAGATGCCAGGAAGAAAAAAGATCAAATCAACAAAAACTACAATTTTGGATAGCTCACTGATCTTGAAAGTAAGGGATGTTTGATGCTGCTTTACAAAGAGTTTATAACTTGCCATAATTCCCATACCCTCCTCTGATTTCTAAGTAAATATAGTATTTTCAGAAATGAGAAACCAAGATTGTATGTATCTTTTTACCCTAGCATTCCTAGATATAATCCAGTAAACTCTGCAGCATGCTAAAGTATATAATTAAATTAAATTGGCAATCTCCAAACACCTCAGATAATGAACAGTATAGGTTTTACAAGTTATAATAACATAGGATCTTTCCCCCTCCTCTTTCTCTTCTGCCTTCATTTTGTTTAACATTCAGCCATAATGAAATTTTTTTAAAACTTAATTCATAAGCTTATTTATTATGTTGTGACATTTAAATTAGTTACAGATACAGATAATCAGAGTTGGAAGGGACCTTGTAGGTCATCTAGTCCAACCCCTACCCAAGCGGGAGACCCTACACCATTTCTGACAAATGGCAGTCCAATCTCTTCTTGAAAGTCTCAAGTGATGGCGCTCCCACAACTTCCGAGGGCAAGCTGTTCCATTGGTTGATTGTTCTCACTGTCAGAAAGTGTCTCCTTGTTTCCAGGTTAAATCTCTCCTTGTTCAGTTTCCATCCATTATTCCTTGTCTGGCCTACAGGCGCTTTATAAAATAGCTTGACTCCTTCCTCCCTGTGGCAGCCCCTCAAATATTGGAAGACCGCTATCATGTCTCCCCTTGTCCTTCTCTTTACTAGACTAGCCAAGCCCAGTTCCTGCAACCGTTTGTTGTATGTTTTAGCCTCCAGTCCCCTAATCATCCTGGTTGCTCTTCTCTGTACTTTTTCTCAACATCTTTTTTATAATGTGGTGAACAAAACTGGATGCAGTACTCTAGGTGTGGTCTTACTAAGGCTTTATAGAGTGGTATTACTACTTCCCTTGATCTTGATTGTATCCCTCTGTTAATACAATTTAGGATTGCATTAGTTTTTTTGGCGGCTGCTGCACACTGCTGGCTCATATTTAGCTGGTTGTCCACTAAGACTCCAAGATCCCTCTCACAGTTACTGCTATTGAGCCTGCTTTCACCCAGTCTATATGTGTACTTTTGGTTTTTCTTGCCTAAGTGTAGGACTTTACTTTTCTCTATATTGAATTTCATTTTATTAGATATGGCCCAGTGTTCTAGTCTGTCAAGATCCATCTGGATCTTAAGCCTATCTTCTTGGGTGTTAGCTATTCCTGCCAGCTTAGTATCATCTGCAAATTGGGCAAGTTCCCCTTCTATTCTCTCATCTAAGTCGTTAATGAAGATATTGAAGAGTACTGGGCCTAAGACGGAACCTTGTGGCACCCCACTGCTTACTTCCCTCAATGTAGACTTAGACCCATTAAGGACTACTCATTGAGTACGGTTTGCCAGCCAGTTGCGAATCCATCTAGTGGTGGTGCTATCTATTCCACTTTTTTCTAGTTTACTAAGAAGTAGGTTGTGGTCTACTTTATCGAATGCCTTTCTGAAATCTAAATATATTATGTCCACAGTATTTTGCTGGTCTACTAATTTAGTCACTGTGTTGAAGAATGAAATAAGATTAGTTTGGCATGATCTATTTTTAACAAGCCCGTGCTGACTGCTAGTTATTACTTTACTTGTTTCTAGATGTTGGCAGATCTGTTTTTTTATTATCTTTTCCAGTATCTTCCCGGGTATTGATGTTAGGCTGATTGGTCTATAGTTTCCTGGATCTGTTTTTTTTTTCCTTTTTTGAAGATGGGAACCACATCAGCTCTTTTCCAGTCCTCTGGTAGTTCCCTGGCACTCCAGGATTTTTGAAAGATATGGTGCAGTGATTCTGAGATGACCTCTGCCAGCTCCTTTAAAACTCTGGGATGTAATCCATCAGGCCCCAGTGATTTGTTTTCATCAAGATCAGACAGGTGTTCTCTTACTATTTTTTTGCTCATTTTAACTTTTATTTCTGGTCTGTCTTTTACAGTTATGTTTTTGGTGGGTTGAGCTATAGTTTCTTTTTGCGTGAAGACAGAGGCAAAGAATGAGTTAAGCAGTTCTGCTTTCTCTCTGTTGCCTGTTACTTCCTTGCCATCTTCTCTCTTTAGTGGACCAACTGTTTCCTTGATTTTTTTCTTGTTATTTATATGTTGGAAGAAACTTTTTTTTATTATCTTTGACTTTTGTTGCAAGTCTTTGTTCATTCTGAGCCTTTGCTATCCTTACTTTGTCTTTGCAGATTCTGGCTATCTGCTGATATTCTGCCTTAGTTGTATGTCCTTAGTTGTATGTCTTGGGTGGCCTATAATGTACGCCTATGGCCATGTCATTCTTTTTTTCTTTTATATTGACCCATATGCATTCTAGGAAGTTTTCATCTTTGGTTTCATGCATTTCTGTAGCAATATAGTGGTCCTTTACATACAGTACAACTCCACCTCCTCTTTTATGGGGTCTGGTTTTTTTGAATAGTTTGTATCCTTCTACCAGTATATTCCAGTCATGGGTTTCATCCCACCAAGTTTCTGTTATTCCAACTATATCATATTTACCTTCATGTATTCGTAGTTCGAGTTCACCCTGCTTGTTCCCCAGACTTTGTGCATTTGTATATAGGCACTTGAGATCTTTATGTCTGACACTGTGTTTCCTGTCTACATAACATAGTTCCAATACTTAATATAGTTTGAAATACATAAATCCATGCTTCATGTGTTACTAAAATAAAAGCACCTATTCATTATCTCATAATAAATGTTTCTTAACAGTGTAAGGATATTTTGACAGATTCAGACAAAATCTAACTATTCTTTCATGTTTTCCAATAATTCTAGAAATTAGCCGGTATATTCAATTGATTGGCTTAAAGCCTGTCAGTGAAAATAAAAAATTAAGAAAATTTTGTTCTTGTTATGTTTCCAAACCTGATGACAAAGCTCTGAAGGACCATGAAGCAAGAAATGGGGGATCTGATATGTAGGATATCTATTCTGTATATATTGTCTAGGTCCTGAAAAAAAAAAAAAAGATTGGGTCCGTCAGATCTTTTCTATCTATTCTTCAACTACACGATAGGAGAGCTGATCATAGTGCATGAGTAACCCAGTAACAGGAGACAGTGAAAGATAGATATCCAGTACTTAGATTTATTTATGTAAAATAAAAATTCATAAATAAATAAACCTGGAGACTACAGACTTTTTGTACACGTCATTAGAAGGAGAATTGCTGACAATTTTATCTTTTATACTCATAACATCCCATTGCTTGTACTGTGAGTGAAATCAGCAAAAAAATGTAAATTAAGTGACTGAGGTAAGGAATTTTATCATAGAATATGCATGATAGAAAAAGACACTTTGAGTGGGTGGAATGAAGGAAAAATTATGGTTCTATGGTGGAAGCACTTGGAAAACAGCAATGCCGTGAGAATTCTGAAGCAGAATTGTCTTGTTCTTTACTTTGATCTATTATCCAGTGTGAATGAAAATGAAGGGCTAGTTACCTTAGGACTTCTCAAATAAAGAGAGCAGGCTTTGTTGGCATTTCATTTCTATGGCACTGACTTTCGTACATCGCAGCCTACTAAACATAAGAGTCAGTCAGTTACATGTGTCCGATGTTGGTGTTTTTTTCTGTCTAGTTTTTGTATAAGAGTTAGTTAATTTCTGACCCCTCCTTCTTGTCTTTGCTCTAGTCTAGTTCTATAGGCAGACATACAAGCAAGCATTTTTTTGTCATTTTTCTTGATTCTCCTCCTAGTAGGGTATACTTAGCAAAGTGCTAGGTTCTTCTACCAACTTCATGTTTTACTCTGGTTGATTCTTTCTACTAAAATTAAAAACCATGTTCACTCATTCTTGCTCAAATTAGATTCTACTGATTTCACTGTTTGGGAGCACAAAACATTTCCTTTAAATAGGATCTAGTAGCCAGACTGGACCTGAGGATTCAACTGAAAAGAATATTAGTTTGGTCAGGTTTGGGAGCATGTATCTGTGCCTTTTGACAGCTACAATAGTAAGCCTGAAACATGCTATCTATAAGGCATACAACCTAAAACCTAAAACGTGGGAAAAGACAGCACTGCCATTAATTTTTTGGCAACTGACTTGTAAACCCCACAAATAATCCAAATGAGATTAAAGGGTTTTTTGTGTGTGTGTCTTTTGTTATAAAGTGCTAGTGATATTAGCAATTTTGGAAAGCAATTCTTCTCCACATTGAGTTCTCCAATATTGCAGCATTATAACTAACCAATTTTGAAGCAAAGGAGCCATTTATTTATTTAAGAAAAACTTTTTCTACTGTTAAATTCATTTAGAAACAATAATATATTGTTGATTTACACATATCCATTATGTTATTTTTCAGTTTACTATCTTTGAATACAGAGCTGCTAGACTTCTGGCTTAATCAAAGTTAAGTAACAAATGGAAGAAAAGTGGTATTATATAGAAAACAATGGCAGTGGAGATAACCGTCAAAATACTCAAAGGAGGAGTGATTCAGTTTCTAGTTCATCAAGGCGCATCCACCGGGCTCTTGAAAAACTGGTGTCTAATTCAGCAGTCTCTTTGGATCTGAGTCGAAAAGATCTGCAACATCTTACTGCAGATATATACAGATTATTTAACCTTAGAGTAAGTCTTTCACTGTTAACATACCTGATTAAAGGATAACTGAAAAAAACTGAACGTTTTCCCACTTGAGATGTTGCAAATTATATGAATTGCATTTTAAGGTTACTGTATGCTTGATAATCTTTTAAAAATTACTTGGGTAATTTTTGCACTTTTTATCATTTGGGGAGAAATCATTTCTCTCAGATTATATGGTAAGCAATACAATCTCACAGGCTACTCATCTCTCCCCCCCCCCCCACCCTCTCATTTTAGTATTTACATCTGGAAGGAAATGCCCTTTCTGTAATTCCTGAAGATTTTTTTCAGAGCCTGTCAAATCTTACTTGGCTAGATTTGCGCTATAATAAATTGAAGGAGCTTCCTTCTGGGATTGGATGTCACAAGTAAGTTTTCTGCTGTATGTCCATTGTTTTTTTAAAAAGGAATTTGTTCAGTAGTACATATCAGGTATCTATTGGTCAACAAATTGAGCAGTAGTACCATGTATGATTAAATATTAACCCTAATTATCACCAAAAGAACAAAATACAGGTAGTCTTTAACTTACAATAGCTTAGTGACTGTTCAAAGTTACAACAGCATTGAAAAAGATGTATGACTTTTTTCACAGTTACGACTATTGTAGCATCTCCATGGTCACATGATTCAAATTCGGTTGCTTGGCAACTGGTTTGTATTTATGACAGGTGCAGGATCCTGAAGTCATGTGATCACCTTTTGCAACCTTCTGACAAGCAAAGTCAAAGAGGAAGCCAGATTCATTTAATAGCCATGTTACTAACTTAACAGCTACAGCGATTCACTTAACTGTGGCAAGAAAAGGTCGTACAATGGGGCAGAATTCACATAACAAATGTCTCATTTAGCAACAGAAATATTGGACTCAATTGTGGTTGTAAGTCAAGAACTACCTGTATTGAAAATACTTTTGCAATGTATGGACTTCATTTTTTAGAATTCTTAACAATGGCCATGATGGTTGGAGACTTCTGGGAGTTGAAATCCAAACATTGTAAAGTTGCCCAGGAAGCATTGTTATAACTGTACCCTTAGCAATTCTTTGTCCTTAAAGTAGCCTGGCTGAAGAGACATTAGGAAATGCTACAAAAACACTTCCTCCACCCATCCATTTATGAAATACAGATGAAATTAAAAAGTTCCAAAATTTATTCTCAGTTGTTTTGACAAAATTTGAAAATAGATATTAAAAATTGTTGCCCTTTAAGATTACATCTCATTTGAAAGAGGCCATATCAATATTATTTACTACTGGTACTGATAACTAGTATGGGACAATTAATAATAACCAGGTTAATTCTTAAATAGGAGATTGATATAGCCTTGATTTGTTTTTTTTGTTTTTTAATTGTGCCAAAATGGGTGCATTTTTTCATGATGTATATAAGCTAACTTTTCAAAATAATGTATATAGAGTAATATGTAGTTTTAAATAAACTTAAGGATGGGAACAGATTTTTTTATCCAGGTGTATGCCAACTACTAGAAAGAAACTGAGATCTTGTTTTATATCAAAAGAAATGGATAAAATAAGGAAAACTGACTCCTTTCTAAAACTTTGGCACACCTTCTTTCCATATTTAGCCAGGCAATGATATCCTACGATGAACCATCTCCTTGAACAACCTTAAGAGTCAAACTGATTAATTTTATGCAGGCTAATGGCTCATTACTTTATGAAATTGCTCGTTTTCTAAAGCATATGTTGGTTTATTCTGAAACAACTCAGTATTTAGGAAGCTTCTGGCTACTACTCTGGCACTACTAGTCTGACTTTTGACCCAAACAGGACTACTGCTACCTTTAAATTTATGTTGACTTTATCTTGGGAAACAAAATCTCTTTAAAGTTCCCAGTTGTGCTAAGAGCAATCCCATGACAGATATTCTATCCCTTATCTTCAAGACATCTGTGGGCAATTGAAGTGAATTCTAATATGTCATGACACTTCCCTGCAAATGCTTCATTTTTTTGACTATGATATTAAAAATTAAACTAGACTAGGGGGAAAAACACCAAAATAATATGCTACAGAAAACTAAGGTTTACAGTCAGGTTTCTTCACTGCTTCTGTTCTTTCCCAGTTGACATATTAATATGTGAAGAAAACAGTGTGAATCTGTTTGTTGTGTCTTTTTTTTTTGCATTTATTATCAGTCTGCAAAAGGAATGTATATTTGAAATAGCTCTTAATGTTAAAGAGAAACTAATTTCAAAATATCTCCCCCAATATGTAGGCAGCAATATACATTTTCTAAATAAATAAGTTGTAGGACCCTGGGACACTGTAACCATCGTAAATACATGCTGGTTGCCAAGCACCCAAAGGGTAGTCACATGACTGAGTGCTGCGGTGGCCATAAGTGTGAAAAGTGGTCATAAGTCACTTTTTTCATTGTAACTTTGAACAGTCATTAAACAAAATGTTGTAAGTTGAGGACTACCTGTTATTGTTATTGATTGATAGAATATTACCTTTATATTATAAATAAATAAATACATAAATACATACATACATACATACATACATACATACATACATACATACATACATACATAAATTTTCTTATAGAAAGCATCTCCATTCTTTTGGGCCCTGATGTGGGCTAGAAATTGATAAACTGTATTCTGTTTATCAGTATTCAAGTACATCTAGTGCACCACATAATTTATTAATTAGGCTACTTAGATTCTGTTAGGAATCTACTTTTTCATTAAAATAGTATAAGAATATATACATTAATTTTCTCTTATTTTCTTGACTAATCTTATTTGTATATTTAAATATTTTCATATTTATTGAAAAGGCAACTGAAAACTCTACTGCTAGAGAGAAATCCTATTAAAAGGCTACCAGTGGAGCTTGGTAAGTATTCTGTTCCCTCAATAATATCTAACTAAACTTAGCATACATATATTCCTTTCAAGATACTCCTTTTCAAGTGAGAGAAACTACTCCAGTGTTTTGGGCCATCTGTGCTGAGTCCTCATTGAATTCCTGAGAACACCATCAAGGATGGTTGCAAATGGTGGCCCCATGATTTCAAGTCATTTAGCAACTAATTGTATGTACAGATGGATTACCAAATACCTAAATCATGGTTGCAGGGATGCTGTGATGACCAGAACTCTGAAGCCCAGTTACAAACAACATTCATTTATCAGCCATCAAAACTTGGAATGGTCTCCGATTGAATGGTGATAGCTTGAGGACTACCCATACTGGCAATTTTTTGCCATTCTTATAAGATTTTCTCTAAGGTTGAGATTAGCACCATTTGAAACAACTAATTTATCTTGGTTAATACATTCATTTTAATATTTTTGCAATTGATCCTTGCTAGGAAGGCTTTCAGATTTCTCCACATTTTGAAACCTTGTTTGATTTCTTGCCGTAATGTATCATACAGGTATTACTAATTACTGAGCTTAAAATTTCTGTTGCTAAGCAAGACAGTTGTTAAGTGAGTCATGCCCCATGTTACAATCATTTTTGCCATGGTTATTAAGCGAATCACTACAATTTGTAAGTCTGTGTTAAACAAATCTGTCTTCCCTCGTTGACTTTCTTGTCAGAAGCTTCCAACAAGGTTGTATCATCCCCTAAGGAGATACATCTGGTGGGAACAAGAAGAAGGGCCTTCTTCATGGTGGCTCCCTCTCTCTGGAACATCGTTCCTCCAGAGATTAGACTGGCCCCCATTATAACACTCTTTCAGAAGGCCCTGAAAACATGGTTCTGTGGGCAGGCCTGGGGAATCCAGAGTCCATTAAAAGGTTAGTATGAAAATGCATTGTGGCCAGGGTGGGGGACAGAAGGTTATTTTATTATTTTTCTTTTTATTATTATTTAATTTGTTTTATATGGTGTTTTTATATTTTGGTAAGTCTCCTTGAGACACATGTGTGAATAGGCAGAAATATAAATTTTCTAAATAAATATATCGTAGGATCCTGAGACACTGTAACCATCGTAAATACATGCTGGTTGCCAAGCACCCAAAAGGTGGTCACATGACTGGGGCTGCTGCTGTGCCCATAAGTGTGAAAACTGGTCATAAGTCACTTTTTTCATTGTAACTTTGAACAGTCATTAAACAAAGTGTTGTAAGTTGAGAACTACCTATCGTTATTGTTACTGATTGATTGAATATTACCTTCAATTAGAAACTGAGGTATTTCTCTGAATGGGTTATCTGACAGCCAGATTCTTCCCACAAGAGATTAACTTCTTTGTTTCATCTTCTTAAGCAACCTTTTCTCACCGCATTTAAGCCCTTTCATGTTTCTCCTGACGCTGTCATATACATATCTCACTTTCATATAGAGAAAAGTGTTCTTATATATAGCCATTTTCCTTCTTTTGACAAATATTTATTCATCACAAAAAGCCATATACTCTCCTCTGCCTTATATCAAGATTTCCTCAACCCTTGTTTGTCTGTTTTTCTACATTTAATAAATAAAGGGTTCAAATCCATAGAAAGTGTTTGTCTAGATAGTACTCACACAGGCGGAGTGAACAGAATATACAAGTATTGATGACTTTGAGTCAAGCCTGTGTTCTAGTAACAACAGGCAGATCTTTGTCAGCAATATTACAGATATGATTTGCGATGCCTATCCAGGATGTTTTTCAACTTCACAATCTAGCCTACCATAGCAATAGCACTTACACTTATATACCACTTCATAATGCTTTAGAGATATTCTCTGGTGTTCACACATCTAAATATTAACCAGGCCCAAACCTGGTTAGCTTTGTAGCCCAAGCAAGGCCAATCATTTTCTGGTATCTGTTCCTATGTTGGTGTACATTGGTGCTTTCACCATTAAGATACCTTTTCTATCAGAGTTGTTAAGTTCCAATCTTACTCTTTACATGTACTGACATATACACCCTACAAACACACAACAAAGAGTCATAGAAAATATTGAGATTCCAAAGAATCAGGGCATTCCTGAGATGACTGATTTTTCAGACTTTAAAACATTCTCTTTTCTTATTCAGTATTGTTCAGGTAGAAGACCTTTATCCATATTCATTGACATACATTTAAAATATTTCTAATATATACATCTCATGTATTACATGTTAAGGAACATTATAATATCCCTGCTTTGCAAGGTTTATCAGTATTTCATTTTCTTATATTTCTATGCTATAGGAACCTTGTATTTTCCTAAGAAAGTATTTCTTTTTTCATATATATTTTTATTATTTACAACTATAAACACAAAACACAGTGCAGCCGTTTTGGCATTACTGTGCCATACATACCAAAGGTGTAGTCAAACCCATTAATGTTTCTATTATTGGTACAATATTTACATTTTGCTTCCAATCCTTCTAACTGTTTTTGTTCTGACCTTCCCCTCTTTTTGCAGCCACAGATAAAACTTGTTCCAAGTATCGTACTATTCTGAATCCCACTTACTTTTCATTTCTAAAGTTAGTCTCTCAGATTCTGCACAGGCCATTATTTTCCTTATTATCTCTCCTTTCAGTAGTGTATTTTCATTTTTCCAATACTGTGAGTAAACCATTCTTGCCGCAGTCAGAATGTATATTATTAAATATGTTGTACCTTTGCTGTGGCCTTCTATCATTATTCCCAACAGGAATAATTCTGGCTTAAATTGAATGTGTTCTCCCACCATTTGCTCTACCCATGCCAGTATCAATCTCCAATATTGTCTTGCTTGGTTACATGTCCACCACATGTGGTAGAAAGCACCTGGTAGATCCTTGCACTTCCAGCATTTTGGTGATAAGTTTTTGTACATTTTAGATTTGAAATTGGGAATAGTATGAGTACTGTTTTTATTACTGCTGAGGAATATTCTTGAAAAGAAAAATTATTTTACAACATTAATAATAGAGTTTAACTGACAGCAATTTAGAATAATATAGAAAGGTATTTGTCTTCCAGCACTGCTTTTACAGAAATAATTTATGTGCAAATATACATGTAATCATAATAAAATATAGACTAATGCAGAATACTAAGTACTACACTTTCAAAAACATAAGAGCAAAACAGCAGAAATAGTAATTACTCAAGCTGTGAGTGGACATATTTAAAATACTATTTTCAAGGCAGTGTGAAAAAATGTGTTATTACCTGCATTATGATCTTGGCAGTTTTCATGTTGTTTTCCCCAGTTATATATTGGTTCTTACATTATCCAAATGTATTTATACTGTAACATTTTTCTTAATGAAATTAAACAGGCTTCTGTAAAGGGAAAAATAAATGTACCTTAAGTATATTTTAAATTTTGGTATATAATTCAGAAGTTTTTCAATATATTTTTATTCAAATATGATAAGTGCAATGAAAGATTAAGAACTGTGGATAACAGAGTAGATTTTGGTCCTAATGGTTTAGGTTTAAATTTAGTCCTAACAATAATCCAAATCAAGTTTTATCCCACTGTCATTTTCTAGAGACATTTACAGGTGGTCCTCGACTTACAGCAGTTCATTTAGTGACTGTTTGAACTTACAATGGCATTGGAAAAAGAGACACGACTGTGTTTTACACTTACAACCATTGCGGAATTCCCAAGGTCACATGATAAAAATTTGAATGCTTGGAAACTGACTCAAATTTATGACACTTGCAGTGTGCAAGGGTCATGTCATTACCTTTTACAACCTTCTGACAAGCAAAGTCAATGGGAAATCCAGGTTCACTTAACAACTGTGTTACAAACCTATCAACTTCAGTGATTCACCTAACAACTAGGGCAAGAAAGGTCATAAAGTAGGGTTAAACTCACTTAAAAATGTCTCATTTGGCAACAGAAATTTTGAGCTCAATTGTGGTCATAAGTCAAGGACTACCTGTCCTTCATACAGGACATTTATTATACATATAACGATTTATTCAGAAAAAATTTCAAGATATTATTTTTCAGATAATATTATTTTCTTTCCATTCTTATATTTTTCCATATCTAGCGAACGGTAGAATATCTGCACAATATCTTTTGATTCAAAGCTATAAGGAGCTACCCAGATGAGAGCACCCTCCTTTCACAGAGCATGCTGTTGATTAAAACATTTTAAATTTCATGGATTCGTATATGCATTTATAAGAAATAGCATAAACATTAAATATAGCAAAGATAAGGAAATTCCCTGCCCTCTAGTGGAGACATCTATGAAAAACAGTTTCTGGAGTTACATACCCCAGCTGTAGGGATAGAAATATATTTTTCAGGGCCTGTTTGATATGTAAGGTAGTTCTATCAGGTATCTAGTAGAATAAGGTGGTAACAATAGAAGGAGACACCATTCAAGACTAATTCTGTTTGAATTAATCCTGAATAGTGTCTCCTTCATTGCCTATTCAGAGAAATTCCTTTATATACTGAGGAGCTCAGCATATAAAGTTTTAGGCTGAAGAGGCTCCTAGGATACTAAGATAATATCCATGAGTTTTTAGGTGTTTGGAATTAAATGGAGTTTGATGTTTTGCTTGTTTTTAAAGATGTGAAGTACATTGTAGATTACTGTGTGCACAAATTTTTTAAATGACATTTTAAAAAAAATCTTACATCCTCTTTGTTTGGAGCTGGTCTCAGCAGCAGCAACAGTGGCACGTACAGATATGTAGCAGCTATAGATGGAAGCCAGCACAGCATAGTCTTGGGAAATAGCAGCATGAGGTGATGGGGATCAGCCACTGTGGCTTTCTATTTTGCTGGCTCATAGATAACCCTAGAATGGAGCAAATGGTCTGGTCCTTGAACCTATGCAGAACAGATATGAGTGGAGATACTTCTCACAAATGAAGACAAATATATGTGTCCCAGGATAATGTTGCAAGGTCCAATCTGGGTTGGTCTCCAGGATCAGAGGTTTACTGTTTCAAGCTTTTGAAGCCCGTCCTCAGGGAACTTCTCTCTACTGGATCATGTACATTGGACTATTCTATGAGTTGTATTTATGTGATGCTTTCTTATTGGTTGATTAGTGTGTTGATGGCCAGCGATTGGCTGTTTGCAAGCCAAGGATTTGGAAGCAGAAGGAAACAACAGCCAATTGCTGGCTATCAACACACCATTAACCAATAGGAAGGCACCTCATAAATACGACTCATAGAATAGCTCAAAGTACATATTCCAGTTGAGAGAAGTTCCTTGAAGATGGGCTCCAGCATGAGTCTGAAAGCTTGGAAGAGTAAACCTATGGTCCCAGTGACCAACCCAAATTGGATCTTGGAGTAACTTCTTTTCTATCTGGATAAATGGGACCAGCTTGCCAAAGGAGCACTGATAGTTGTTTTAGGCCTTGGGATTATTTTTTAAGGAAAATATCTGGAGAAAGCTGGTATGGTAGAAGTAGATCATGTCAAAGGACTGCTTGTTATTCACCCAAAGCCCACAGCTGCTCTGGCTCTTTGCCCTCTGCACCCAAATGAGATGGTTGATGTTGCATCTGTCTCATGGGGCTTTTTCTATTCCATTCCATTTTTCCATTTGTTATGGTTCTATGGCTTAGGACTATCTTAGAGGAGACTGATTTGATGTGATTTACCACCCTATTAAACTGCCTACTTGAGGACTGGAGAATGGAGGAGAGAGGTTGATATTTGGAGAAGAATGGGTGGTAAATGGGAGTGGTTGGTGACCTGCAATTGTTTTACCACATTTGTTGCTGAATGTCTGATGGCAGGAGCAGTGAAGAGAGGTTATATCACTTGCCGTGGGAGATGAAAGTATGTCTGAAGGAGATTAAATACATATGTTCTTTAACCTGGGAGGTGGAAAGTGTGGGGATGAAATTACGGTAAGAGCAAGTAATTCCATCAAGATTGTGATATATGAGTAGATGAACCAATCACAGGCATAATAAATTTGGGGACTGCAAGCTATCTTCCTGCCTCTCGGTATTCAAGATCAGCCCATCAAATTCTTAATAGCCTGGGTTCCAGCTGCTGTAACTGAACACCAGACCAATATGCAATAAAACTACCCTCATCCACAATTGACTGTAAGTGAGGCAGCCCAGTTGCTGTGTGTGGTTAGGCTTGGGTGACCCCAGAAAGAGGAGATCCTCTCCCATAGATATGCCACCTGCATTTTCAGCTGTGAAGCCAAGATGGTGATGATGAAGTTGTCATCCATAAAAATGTAATGGCTTTTTGGTGTGTCCTGGTTTCAGTGTAAAAATAAAATGCTCGTGCAGTAGACAGGCATAATTCAGGCACATGGAAGGCAAGCCTGCAGAGATATTGGGAAGGAATACCATTTCCCCCAACACACACACACAGTTTAGGAACAATTATTTTGCAGCAGAACTTGTAAAAATGTTAGGAAGTGTTATCTGGAGGCTGTAGACAGGCAGGGGAGGCAACAGAAGAAGAGTTGGGGAAGCAAAAGAAAGAATATGTGTGTGCATGATAGCTTACTTGATGCTAGGGAAGAAGGCATAATCCGAACAGACAGTTTGAAATCCATTTCTTCAGAATATCTTGTAAATGCTTGGCCAGGAACACCCAGGTCAAAACAAGCAGAAATCAAGAACAGGAATTCACAAATGAAGATGCCAAAGTTGTTTCCAGTAACAGAAGGAATTCCTGCACAGATTAAATCTTCTCCCCACCAAGCATACTCAGCCGAAACATTTCCTGCTCAGTGGTTGCCAATAATGAAGCATGGGGATTGCTTGCAGAATCAGCATCTTTCTGCTTGCTTGCAAGGTGCTTACTTTGCCAAAGTGCAGGGTGGATTATTGTAGCCTGCTGTATATAAGGCTGCCCTTGAAAATGTATCTAGAAGCTTTAGCTGATACAAAATGCAGCAGCATGGACAGTTATGTGTGCCCCTAGAATGCCATACATTGCATCTTTGCTCTATGAGCTGCATTAGTTGTCGTATATGACTTGGGAGCTGAGTTTCTTCAAGATTATCCCATGTAAAATCTGTGTGCTTGATATGCAAAGCAGTGGTAAAGAAATGGAATAAATAGGGAATATTTGCTGAGGTCCTCAACTATTGAGATTAACAGGAAACAGCACAAAAGCTGCCATTTTCTTTGAAGCTTTGGCTGTTATAGTTGAGGGAGGTCTTCCTTTATACTCTTCCACAAACTTATTAAAACTTGAATGCTCTAAGTCACAGATGTCAAACTCATGGTGTCATGTTGCTGTCATGTGATGTTTCGTGACATTTTTCTCCTTCACGGAGCTTGGGTGGGCGTGGCCTGTGCATGATGCATCCAGCCCATGGGCCACCAGTTTGACACTCCTGCTGTAAGTATACTTTCTTGCAAACCAACAGTCTTATTATTTCTAAGTAACTTTACAATTAAATAATCACTTAAATAATAATAGGGAGAGCTTTTTCTTCTAAAACATTTTAACATTACATCTTTGGCTTTCTTATTTTGGCAGGTAAAGTAGCTTCACTTACAGCCTTAAATCTCAGGAATTGTCCTCTGGAATTTCCTCCCCTTGAAGTGATACAGAAGGGTCTGTCATTCATTTTATGTTTCCTCCGAAAGAACTGTCATCCAAATATTGAATATGCAGAGTCTATTTCTCCAGGTATAGTAATATTTTAATACATGTTTTTGAAATAACCATATTGACCTAGTTAAATAATTAATATGGATATGAGTTTCAAACAATTAAGGTATCAAGTGATCTGAAAATATCTGTGGAATTGTCTTTCCCGTTGTTTTGCTGAGCCCACCAAATCTTGCAGTGAAGGCATGTGTGATCTTTTGTGAGCAACAGTGTGATTTCTTTGGACCTTGAAGTTGTGCTTTTTCTGTAGGTGCACTTGTTCTGGAGATCCAGATGGGTAACCTTTTGAAAGGCTTTAAAGATGTGCCTGTGTTTCTTGATATTTGGGCCAGGAAATTAGCTGAGATTTACTATTGAATTGGTTTTTGTGATTTGGGGTTTAATGTTTTAATTTTGGGCATCATGAGTTATAGGTTGTAATTTTTGTTTTAATCCACTGTCCATAGTCTCTGTTATTAAATGGGTGGCCATATAAATCATGTAAATAAATAATTGAAATTATTTCTGTTTAAGGCACAAAATGTTAATGTGTCTATTTTTATTGAAGAAGCTAAACAGGAGCCAGTTTAATAATATATTTGATGGGGAGGGAAGGTGGGAGAGGAGATAGGTCTGATTATATTGGTTTTGTTTGGTTTCTGTTTGGTTATTTCTGTTTTTTCGTTATAGTTTGTTGAGATGTAAACTCTTTTAAAAAAGCATAAGAGCAATGTGCCCCACTTCTGGAAAGTATAGAACTTTCCAATTGTCTTTGAGAATCATTCAGTTATAGAGTATATAAGGCTTTTCTGTGGTATGTGGGGATTTCAATAATTCCAGACAATAAACCTAAGATACTGTATTCTGCATTGTGGTTCATATTTTATATAATTTGCTTGAGCTCCTAATAAAGACTCCATGCGTATGACATATAGTTATTTAGCTACTAAGACTCTATGATAATTTTGGTAACTGCTCTTGGGGTGTTAATGAATTAAATGATTAAACACTGCCATTTTAAGTCATTCCTTAAACTATTGTTCATGATTGATTGAATGATTAATTGGTTAGATGCCATCAAGTCAGTATCAACTCTTAATGTCAGCCGCCTTGCCAGGTAAGCTCAGACAGGAAAAATACAATGCAGTTAATTCTACTTTACTATAAAGCTACAATTACGGAATCCTGCAAGTTTGAAAGTACTGTATAATTCTTCTGTTATATTTTGGGTAGATTTATTTGATTTTTTTTTCATTTTCATGGCTATCTATGGCAGGGGTCCCCAACCGCCGGTCTGCGGACCGGTACCGGGCCGCGGAACAAGCCTTACCGGGCCGCTGGTTGCTGGGCGCCGCCATCTTTTTTTGGTAAAAAAGCGCTTCCGGTGAGCTTTTCCGGGTAGAAAGCTCACTGGAAGCGCTTTTTCGTCAAAAAAGATGGCGGCGCCCAGTTGACGCCGGTACCGGGCCGCGGCGCCCAGCTGATGCCGGAACCGGGCCACGGCGTCAAAAAGGTTGGGGATCCCTGATCTATGGTATTCTCAAAAGTCTTCTGTAACACCAAAGTTCAAAAGCCTCATTAGTCATTCTATTGTGCCTTTTCACTGGAAGCGCTTTTTCGTCCAACACTTTCATAGAATGTTACAGAGAAAACTATTGCCTGAACAATTCTGATCTTTGTAGGTACAGACATAGCCCAGAATCTGAATATATTTTTCAAGGTCTTCACGCCTGTTCTACCAACTTCTGGTATGCTATGTATTTCTTGATTGCTGGTTTCTTTTTTTGTTGCTAGTTGACCCTAGAGGCAGAAGGTATCTACTGCTACTCAATACCTTTAATGTTACATCTTTTATTCTAAGGCTGGTTGCTGAATTTGTTGTTATTAATTTGGTCTTTTTAAATATTTAATCTTAATTTTTTGTGCTTCTTGATTTTACTACTATATCTTACATCAACATTCATTTGAATTTTCAGCCATCAGAATAGTGTCTTCAACATAGCTCAGGTTACTGATATTTCTTCTTCCAGTTTTAAAACCACTTTCATCTTCTTCCAATACAGCGTTGCTCAATATTTATTCCATATATAGGTTGTAAAACAAGGGATAATCTCTTTGCCAACCTGGAGCCAGTCTTTTACCATGTCCTGTCCATACTGTGGTTTCCTGAGCTATGTGTAGATTTTGTATGAGGACAGTGAAATGTTCTGTGGTTGCCAAATTTCCAAACACTCTTCTGTTTTACAACCAAAAACCTTTCTATAATCAACAAAACATATACTGACTTCTTTTTTGTGATTCTTTGGCTTTTTCAATTATTCAGAATGTGCTGGCAATAATTTTATGTTCTTAACTTTGATTTATTTATTATAGTTATCTTATTAATGGAACTGTAGTTAATCATCTGAAAGAAAGCAATGTATTTTGACATCAAGGAAAAAGAACTATATAGTCTTCAATACAAAGTGAGGAATGTTAATTCAGGATCAAACATTCAGGGTGTTGTCTATAAAGTAATCAAGACAATATTGCAATAGCCTATCTAATATTTAGGCTTAATTTATTTGATTGGTTCATGTTTTGGGTTTAGGTTTTACATTTAAACAATCTGAATTCTTGGTTAAACTCACAATGAATTACTAACATTCCTTTTTTATTATATAGTCAATTACTACACTTGACTATAAATTCATGGTCAAGTGAATCTATCATGAAAATAGTGTAATAATTTGATTTTTGGAAGTAGATGAAAGCAAAATAGTAGATGTATTCAGAGAGAAAAAAAACTGCCTAACCCCTCCAATCCATAACTTTCTGAAGCAAGAGTGGATGAGAAGAATAACTATCACGAGATTTTTAAAGATCTGTATTTATATGTATTTGGACAAATAGGTATAGTAAATCCTTTTGAATGTAACATTTGTAGAGCATCTACATTCTGTTGCCTAGTATTTTATGTACCAAATGTGCATGTAGATGACTATTAGAATTGGAGGATTTGCTTGGAACTCCCAATCAAGCAGTGGCAGCCACTTCTCCCTGATAATATTTCTCTATATACGGTATTTGGAGAATGACTGCAACTACAGTTTCTATGCTGCTTGGTGACTACTCTAATTATTCAGGGCTTTGAAATCTTAGGGTAAATCTTTATAAACAAAGTAACTTCATCTATACACAGTTGCCCTCTACATGTAAAAGGCAGCAAGAATGTCATGGAATGAATTTAGCAAACACATTCTGCTATCCTTTCCATGTATAGTTTAATCATAGAGAACAATATACAGAGGACTTATTCCAGCACAACCATAAAGGACACAAGAATATGTGTCCTATAATGCTGTGCCATATCCACCATTTTTAATATGGACTATTATCCTCTTTTAATGACTGCATAATTCCTTGCAAAGTGGATAATTCTAGGCACCTGAATGGAACTGGGTGTTTACTGGCCGGATGCCCTTCCTGTCGCTAATGCGGAGTTTTTTATTCAGCAGATATATTCTCAGTGTGCCCAGATAGAGAAATATCTGCCTCTACCTAAGATCAAACTCACAGCCTCCTGATTGTGAGGCAAGAGCTCCACCTCTAGGCCAAGATACCACTTTTAATATGGACCATTATACTCTGATTTATTTGTTTTGTTTTTGCATTGGACACCATGATGACTGATTATTTTCTATACTCATCCCACGCTTCTGAGTGGTATTTACAGTTGAGATAGAGAGAATATATACTTCTGCTATTCATGAAATACAGATTTTTATAAATAATGTAATGTTTCCATATCTTTTGAAGTTTATATGGAAAAGAAATAAACTGATCTTTATGCTATAGTGATCTTACTTTAGAGCATCAGTAATTCTATTCTTTAAAAGTTATAGATGTGTTCTAAATAAACAACTGCATAATAAACATACTGCCCTTTTTAAAAAAGCATGTATTTTGCACAACTTTCTTTCTACATGGCTCTTTGGTATTTTATTGATCTTCAAAGGAGGGTATTCGTAAAAAATTGTAGCAAATGATCATGTGTCAGAGTAGTTTTAACATGTGCACATACCTTGAAATTCTGTATTTCACAGACTTGCCTTCTCCGCTAGAACAAGAAGCAAAGGCCATTGTTAGAGAATACAAGAAAAAATGTGACAGACCACCTGATCGTAGGAAAGCTTTCAACGCTTTATGGAAACAGATGAGCCTCTTTAGTGAGTTTAGTAGAGCACTAGAATTGGAAGGCAACATCATTGTGATACTACTCCTTTGAATATACTGTATTTCTGAATCTAGATCATATAAGGGTTTAGTTCAAATATTCTATTCAAAACTATGATTTAGACTACATGGCTGCATCATAAGCTCGTTTTTTTCAAGCTCCAATAACCTCCTAAACTTGAAACAATAAAATTTTCCATTGCCTTTAAGTAGAAAAAGTTATAGTAAAACATTACCTGAAAACCAGAATTTAAAATTAAGCTAACTATATGGTTAATGAAATTTTGGCCCATTTAGGAAATTAGTAATGAAATTGAAATATGAAGAAGGATAGAGAACCTATCAATTGACAGCCCTGATAGATAACAATCATAATAGCAATGTGCCAGTTTGGTCTAGATGCTAGCGATTAAGGCATCAGGCTAGAAATCAGAAAACTGAGTTCCACTCCTATTTTGGGCATGAAAGCTGGCTGGATGACTTTGGGCCAATCACAGTCTTTCAGCCCAACTTACCTCACAATGCTATTATCGGGAAAATTGAGGAGGAGGGAGTATTAGTATGTTTACTGCCTTAACTTGGCTATAATGCCTAAATCAGTACACACACACAAACAGAAAGAGAGGGTGGGGAGCAGATCCAATAATAACATTACAGATTAGCCCTTGAAGACTATTCAGATTCGATTTGTGCAATTAAAAAGCCATTTGCTGGATATTGTCCCCAAATGTCTTGTCTTACCCTAAAGAGACAAATAATTTCTTGGAGAAATCACAGTATATCTGTAAATCAAATTATATTAAATTTCTAGAGAAATAGTATATGTAACATAAACATACTTTGTATATTGTAATATTTCTAGTTTGATGGTGTCCTCTGTTGTACATATTTTATTACAACCCTGGATGCTGTGTATTTTTTTGTAAAAACAATCTTCTATTAAAAAGAACTAAAATCTCTGGAAGCTAAAATTCCTTTCCAAGAGGTAAAAACAGTACTGAATCTCTGTTACTGGATCAGAATTACTAATAATTTAACCCCTGTGGATTCAACTAATTTTAATCCCTGAAAATTCAATTTTTACAAATGACATAATTATTTTTTAATTTTGTGATTTATAGATTTAATTCGGTTTAAACCCAGAAGCGCTCGAAGAATCAGTAGTGTGTCCAGTAAAGGTAGCACTTAAGAAAATATTTTATTTTAAATTAAGTTTAAATAGTGTTCAGCTTATTAAGATGTGCATAACCGATACTTGTGATTCTTTTTCCAAGTCAAAAGTACATAATACCTGTTTAAAGATTGTTTCTTTAAAAATAGGTTCAATATGAAATGCCCTCTTTTGCCTCTCATGTTGCCTATTGTAAAACAACAATAAAAAGATACAGCAAAAAGTATAAAGATCACTTTGGCTTATTTTAATTCTTATTGTTGTATTTAATACAGCATACTTTTAAAACTGTTTATGGCAGATTGCAATATCAAATTTAGCAGTAGTACTATGGCAATGTAATGCTAATAACTCTCATTAATCTGTCTGCCAATCTAACTACATAGCATTGCCTCTTAAAATACTTAAATGTGTTTGACATAGGAAAAATTAGAATTGAAGAATTAGCATTCTGAATATTCTTTGTGGAATTCTTTTTTGCTGTTGGATTTTTTTTTAAAGAATGTATTTAAAACACATAATTCTAAAGATTTAAGCCATTGCTTTAGAACTGTAGAGCAAAAATACTAACACACTCTTATATACATGCTTTTTGCCACTAAATAACATTTTTTTGAAACTGGAGCTTTGAAAATGCCATGAAAATAAGGAAAAGTTATTCACTAATTTAAAAGAATGTACCAACTTCAGCTTTTTTGTAACATTTATCTTAACGTGCTTTGTCAAATATCAGAATGTAAAGAAGTAGGTGTTATTTAACATACTATAATAGTAATCTTTTTATGCATATGTAACATTTGTTTTCAAAACTGTTGTATTTCTGAAAATCTTGTATTTGATGGCTATATGATCATAAAACATAAGTACAGCTTTTTATATAAAAATAAATTGTACTTTCAAATACTTAGTAGAATTATTTGATTGATGAATGGTTTTATTTGATACGTACATGATTTGTTTGCTGTAGTATCTTATTTAGCTTTGAATTTAGATCAAGAAAATGGCACAGATACTGGACGTCTCTTTCAACATTACTTTTCTTAACTTCAAAGCAACTTGAGAAAATGGGAAATGCTGATTGCCAACTTTTTCCAAAAATTACCTGGACTATTTCAGAAGCCACATTTCTGATACTACCAATCAAAGAACATTGTGCAGTTTTCCATCTTTTACTTCTTAATTTTTTGTAGGAAGAAAAAATCCTGCACTAATAGTGGGGAAATATGGGAGGATTGCTAGGGGAATAACACCAATGTAATATTGCATAATTGTAATAGAATTTTACCCTGCAAGAAGATTTGGAAATATATTGAGAATAGCTACTTCAGTGAAGGAGAGTATTAAAGATCAAAGTCACAAACATTATGAAGAATAGGGGCTATGTAAAGTCAAATTCTTATTTTGTATTCTTGTATATTAGTATACAAACAGATACCATAAATGAATAAAAATTAGCTATCATACTTGTCAACCCAGGAGACAATTAGAGGCTAATTAGAGTGAAACCAAAACTTTCAAGGATTTCATGTACCATGCATGAGTATTTCCAGCCTTAAGGGCATTTTATAAGCAGGAAAAATTTAACTTCAGGCCAAATATTTTAAGTGATATCTTCAAACTTTAAGTTTTAACTATATCAACTGAGTATGTTGACCTTTTATTTGATGCATATTTTCTTAGCCTTTTGTTTTTCATTCTGTTAATTGTTCAGAGCCATTTCTTATGTTTATACATGCCACTGCAGCAATTTCCATTGGACACAACAGGACATAATCATGCATGTAAAATTAAGGATATGACAATGTCATGAATGGTGTCAGGGTAGAAACTGGAAATCTGTGAGTTCTAGTTCCATCTTAGGCACCAAGCCAGCTGGGTGATGTTTGTTTGTTTGTTTGTTTGTTTGTTTGTTTGTTTTGTCAAGCAAGTATTAGATAACAAGTATAAGTATAAACCTGGTTGTGAATATATGAAATGATACGAATAAAAAGAAACAATAGGACAGGGATGGTAGGCACGTTGGTGCACTTATGCACGTCCCCTACAGACCTCTTAGGAAAGGGGTGAGGTCAATAGTAGACAGTCTAAGGTTAAAGTTTTTGGGGTTTGGGGAAGAAACCACAGAGTCAGGTAGAGTATTCCAGACATTGACCACTCTATTGCTGAAGTCATATTTCCTGCAATCAAGTTTGGTGCGGTTAACCTTGAGTTTGTATCTATTGTGTGCTCTTTATTGTTGTGGTTGAAGCTGAAGTATTCATTGACAGGTAGGACATTGCAGTAGATAATCTTATGTACTATACTTATATCAGACCGAAGGTGGCGTACTTCTAGGTTGTCTAAGACTAAAATTTCAAGTCTGGTGGCATACGGTATTCTACTACAAGTAAAGAAGTGGAGAACTCTTCTCGTGAATTATTTCTGGACTCTCAATTTTGACCACACTGACCACATTTTGACCACACTGCCTTAATAGACTGTTCTAGAAAGGCACAGAAAAGTGCAATTAACATATTCTTTAAGATCTACTATATGACTGCCTCTTTTTCATTTCTAAACCTTTTCTAATACCCTAATGCCAGAAATTGCCAGTCAGAGCTATAGGGCTATAATTTCTTTATATATTCTATAGATAACTCCTAACAGGCTTTGTTCATAGTCCAGATGGCTTTTGAGCCTAGTTTCAAATTCCTGTTTTTTTCATAGCTTGGGTGTTTGTATATAAAGTTTATGTATTTAAAGGCTAGCATAAGCAGAAACTTATTTCTTTCAGGCTATTCTTAAGCAACATGGGGGATCTGCCCTGTGTCTTACATGCATCTTGTGGAATCCAAATTGTAGTCCAGTGTTTCTTCATATGGGTTATATGATTTATTAATTAGTACAGGATTTGTTAAGGAAAACATGTCTTCTCTGAGTCAGACAGGGAGATCTCAAGTCTGTGAAATGAAATACACATTGTTTTATAAAAAGCACTAATCTAATTATCTGAGCGTCAAGTGGCTAAATAAAGGTTTGGAAGAAGGTATGCATCCCTGAAAAGATGAAACTACTTCATAATAATAGCTCTACTTTGATAATTAAAAACTTAGGTTTTATTTTCCATACAGGTATTTCCTTGAATCTGTCAGTAAAAAAACAACTGCAGATAGTCCTCAATTTATAACTGGAATCAGAGCAAGGCAGTTAAGTGAGTCATGCCCAATTTTATGACCTTTTTTTTGCCATGGTTGCTAAGCAATTCATTGTAGTTGTTAAGTGAATCACAAGGTTGTTAAGCAAATCCAATTTCTCCATTGATTTTGCTTCTTGGAGGCCAGCTAGGAAGTTAGCAAATGACAATTGCATGATCCCGGGATACTGCAACTATATGATGTTGAATTTTGATCACCAGATGTAAGTGCAAGGAGGACTGGTACGGTGGCCTAGAGGTGAAGCCCTCCTCACAATCAGGAGGCTGTGAATTCAATCCTAGGTAGAGGCAGATATTTCTCTATCTGGGCACAATGGGAATATATCTGCTGAACAAAACTCTGCATTGGCGACAGGAAGGGCACCCGGCCATTAAACACTCCGCTAGCTCCATTCAAGTGGCCAGACTCCACCCTGCAAGGGATTATGGGATCATTAAAAGATGATGATGAATCGTAAGTGTAAGGACGGGTTGTAAGTCACTTTTCTCAGTGCTGTTGTAACTTCAAACGGCTGCTAAACGAATGGTTATAAGTCCAGGATACCTATAACACCATAGCCCACTTTGCAGTTTAAACTAGTCCCCAAACCTCGTATAGCAAGCACATTGCATTCAATTCAGGATTTGCTGGGTGTATGGCTTCAATTGAGAATGTATTTTACAACATAAACCAAAACTAAGATATGAAATGCCACTCAAAAGAGAGCTGAGGTTGCCTTGGCTACGTTGTATTGACTTGCAGTGCAACAATTTACAATTTAGGACAGAAATAGTGTATCAGCATGGTTTGTGTATCTGTAAACTCAAGATCATCCAAGGACACAGGAGAGTAACCTAAGCACATTTGGTCAGTTAGCCAATAAAGGACAATGGGGGTTCAAAATATGCATAGAATAGCACTCTGTGTCAGTTTTCCAGCTTCACATAAATATCCAGTCATTAATCTTCAATAAAGTCCTCAATAAAACACACATTATGAGTCTCTTCTAATCGACACCATTTCTTGCCAGTACCCTACATTAACAAAAGTATGCAACAGATAGAAAAGATTCCCCATTCTAGCATTCTTATGGAAACTTCAAAAAAGTGAATTAAGAAGACAGTTATTGTCTTTTGCATCAAATCAAATTGGTTGCATAACATACTTCTAGCCCTCGACTTAGCAACAGTTCATTTAATGACTATTCAAAGTTGCAAAGGCCCTGAAAAATGTGATTTATGACCATTTTTCATAGTTGTTAACTTTGCAGTATCCCCATGGTCCCATGATCAAAATTCAGAATGCTTCACAACTGACTCACATTTATGACGGTTGCAGTGTCCAAAGGGTCATGTGATCACCTTTTGAAACCTTCTGACAAGCAAAATCAATGGGGAATCCAGATTCACCTAACATCCATGTTATTAGCTTAACATCTGCAGTGATTCACTTAACAACTATGGCAGGAAAGGTCGTAAAATGAAGCAAAATTCACTTAACAACCTTCTCGTTTAGCAACAGAAATTTTGGGCTCAGTTGTGGTTGTATGTCAAGAACTACCTGCATAAGAAGAATATGCCATAATATGTTTCAACATAATGTATAATCCTTACTCCAACTATAGCAGAAGATCTCATATTTGCTAATAATAGGGTAATATTTGAAATCGATTTTAAGATTAGAAAAGATATTGTAGATATGTAGGGCCTTCTCCTGGATTCCCAATAGATTTTAAATTCTAAAGAGAGAAGAATATTACAAATATTATCTGCCTTATTGGTTGTAATTCAAACTTAGAGGATGCAGAGCAATAGAATAGTCCTACTTTAAAGAAGTAGAATAAGAAGGGCTTTTTTTTTTTTTTTTTGAGAATTCCATTGTTTCATTAATAGAATTACCGGAAGCAAAAAAAGGACAAAATGGACCACTAGACTTTAAAGTGTGTGTGGGGTGGGGGGGGTAAATAAACGGTCAATACTTGGAGGTTAGTATTTTAATGTTTTTTTTTGGGAGCAGTCAAAAATGTCAGGATTTTGATGGCTTTGAGATTTGGTTTCTTTTAATTTCATTTTTATTTGTTTAAAGATGCTTAAATATTTTTTCCTATGAAAAGTGAAGGAAAATCATCAAAATCTGACAATTCAGCTTTTTTTTCACTGGGGTAGTGTAGAGATTCTGAGCACATTTGTGTCACATCCTTGCTGTTGTGTAAACTAAAGTGATTAAGTCAAGAAAATGTATATTTTATTTTCATTTACTGCAGTACTGAACTGAAGGTTTAGCGATGCTTCTGTTTCCTTTTTTGATGATGATTGCATTGCAATAAGGGAGAGGTTGTAAACTTGTATTTCTAAATCAAAAGGAAAAAAATAACTATCTTAATATTTTCCCTTTCCAATTGGTTCCATCTATGAGTGTAAAGCAATTTTTTTTTATTTCAATAGAAATGCCTCCTGTTGAAAAATTAAATTTGGCAGACATCATGAAATCCAGTTTGGATTTGTCAGATGGATGGCCTAATGAGGAGGAGATGATACGATTTAAGAAGCTAAGGGATGAACTTATCCAAGATGAAAGACAAGAGTATCCTGAAGACAAAATAGTAACCAATGAATCTATGCCTACATTAAGGAGAACCAGGACAAAGGAAAGCCTCTCTCGTAAATCATCTATTCTTTCATCAAGGTAATAAAAGATATAAGCCAGTTTATGTTTTTACATTCTTTATGGTAACTCACAGTTTGCATTCTAATATAAATTATATATTACTGTAGTATGTTAAATTCCAAACTGCATGATAAATAATAGAAATCTAGAAAACCCAAGGAGAAATTAAAAGCTTTTCTTTTTAAAGCCACAATAACAATAATTATATATTATTGTAATCAGCGTAAGGAAAAAAATAATTTAAAAAGGGTAGCAATCTTCCAGGTATCATCATTCCTACTCTGAATCAATCATTAAAATTATCTGTGGGTGAGCTCTTGCTGCCTTTTCAGAGATTTTTAAATATCTTGATGCAACGCTTCTGCCAATGATTCTAGTGATAATCCTTATAAATGGATCCAAAAATAGATGGCCATGCATCTGCATCAACAACTATATGAGTAACAGGAATTGGTAGGAAATTCTGGGCAGAAACAGGACCAGTTACTATGTTCAGGGGTCATGTGGCCACAATTTGCAATGCTTCTTGCAAGTTTTCAGTAAAAAAATGTATATCCAGGAAAATGGATTCATTTAACAACCATATAGTTTGCTTCAAACATAGTTTGCTTCAACCGTAACTCATTTTATGAGCAGCATAAATTATAAAATTGAGTCCAGCCATGTGCTTCCTTGACTTACAAACACAATGACTTATGACTTCAATTCCAGGCTCTATTGTAATTGTAAGTCAAGGACTACCTGCATTTAGATAACACAAAGAGCCATTTAATATTGCCTGTACAATTTCAAATTTGGGGAATCTGTGTACTATACTTCTGTGTATTTTTTTTAACTCCAAAGTTAAAAATAGTTAACAATCATTTTCAGAAGCAATCATTTTCCACAACAAATACAACCAATTAGCAGTATATTTTGAAACTAGAAGATTAAAAAAAAGATTAAAGAAGTGGTGGGTTATCATTTAGAATTTATAACAACAGATGGTTCCAGATTAGTATCACTATCAGTGTTTTGCAGCAAAACTGATGAAATCCATTGGAGTCAGGTGCTTCTTAAAGACTCAAAAATGTATTTTCTCATAATAAGCTTTATCGGAAGATGAACTTACATGATAATAAATCACAGTTTTTAAAGTGATACAGAACATGAGGACTGAAATCTAAAGCCAGGAACAAATGAAGCCCATAAGAGATACTTGGACAATTAATTCCTCAAAGCTGTTCCCATTGTAAAGTCTTTCATTTAGATAGCTACCAGCTGCTAATGCTGGTTTTGAAACATGACCATGATGAGGATGGAAATTTGCAACTAATTTTTCAATAGAAGCTCATATTTTATATATAAAGTATTTTTGAAAATGCTGAAAACAAAGTAATTTTCAAAGTCCTTGTTTTGGCATTTAAATCTAAACAAAATCCCAAAACATCCTTAAAAATGTTATGAAAACTTATGATATCAATTGCCTCACTCAAATGAAAAATGATATCCCCTTGGTTGAAGGATGCAATCTTCTGTTTTTGTTTTTGTTTTAAAGCAACAGAGCTAACCTAAAATTGTGAGTTGGACGTCACAGAATTTTGATAGCTAGAGGCAGATAGAGCATAGCAACAGATTTTTCTTCAAAGATTCAGGAGTGGAAGATAGGATATAATGTTACAGGATTAGTATATTAAAAAACGAAATACATATTTTTGAATAAATGAGCATATACAGGACCTAAGATCTAATATGAATTAAAGAATTTCCATGTTAAGTTTGAAGACATCAAGAAGAACTCACCAATACCCACTTCCTAATGCTTTCCTGTATTTTCTGCTATCTTCATAAAAATCTACTTCTTACTTCTAATAAAAAATACAACAATTCAGATCTAAATGGTTTGGGACCAAAGTTAGTACTGATTCAGTCCCTCTGAAGCCGATGAAGAATTCTCCCCCCCTCCCAGTAAAATAATGGCTAACTTTAATTGAACTGAACCTGCATGCTTTCTTAATTCTGTACTTTTCTTCCCCTTCAGTCTGGATATAGTTTATAGAAAACTAGGCAAAAATCAAATGTTTAAGAGTAAATTACCCAAAGAACAAATAAACAAACCCCCAAATTATGCTCAAACCAATTTTATTGATTTAATATTTATATTGCATGTACAGTTTATTTCAAGTTAACACAATCATGCTAAGAAACTATTTGTGACCTTAAATTTCTGGGTGGGGGGGGGGAATGCAAGGAACAAATGTGAATTGGATGAGAACCAAACAGAAAAAGAATTATGGAAGTGATATAACTTTCAAGTCACAATTTTGTTAACCAGTTGTCTATCTGGAGTAGAAAGAATTCTGAAGTAGACTTTGTTTTTTTAAATAAAATAAAGCCTGAAGATAGCAAAAATAATTAAGATTTGTTGTTCAACTACTGTGTTGTTCTGCATAGCTTTTAATGACAAATATAATTGACTGAAGTTTACAAGTCTATTTCAAAGGGATAAAAGGAATCTGCTTCCTGCTGCTTCATCATATGATTTCATAATCCAAAGTAAGATGGCAGAGGAGTGCAGATTGGCAGCATTAAAAGATATGAAGGAAAAACAAGCTTTAATTGAACAGCGGAGAAAGTAAGTGTTATAATTATTTTTAACAAAATATTATTATATTATTAGTGTAAATAAGTCTACTAAATATGAGTTGCAGAACTCTAGAAGACCACTAGATGGTGGCAGAATTATTTTTCTGTATTATTTTTCTGCCATTTGATAAGCATCAGAATTTTGCAGCCTAAATATGAAAATCCTAATATAGAAGATGTTACTACTTGACAGAAAAACAAGCTGGGTTTTCATTTTAAAAATGAATAAATTACTATTTCATCCATCCCGCTTTGATTTGCTTTTTGCTACTTACAGAGTGCAAGATTTATGTCACAGATAACAGGACCAGATCCATGATTTTAAATCAATAAGATTATTTTTAGTGCAGGAAAGTAGTAAACAGAAGAGAGATTGTTATGCACATCTTATTTTTCACTGCCATATTCAATCAGTTCCTTCATACTGTTACTTTTTTCTCCTATTACCAGAAGCCTGTATTTTCACAGTATGATAACTGGGTCAGTGAAATCTAGCATGTTAAACAAACTTTTGAACCAAATTTCCAGGTTAAGAAATATTCATTTAAGAAAGGATAGCTGTGGTGTAGACAATGATACTTCTACACCTACTGTTTCTCACCATAGCATCTGAGCAATATTTTCACAACCTTAGTCCAGTATCTTTCTCACAGTTGCAGAATTTTAACTAAATTCATCCTGACTTTGATTACCCAGGAAAATATTAGACTTACATAGCTTGACATCTCTGCTTTCATATGTCATATAAGTTTTGTCAGTTTTGAAAGTTTAAAGCAGATATGTACTTAATTTCACTATTTTTGTGATTGCCAAGAAGCATCTGGTTTCTTCAAACAGCACTGAAGCTTGAATAAGGGAGATTTAGCCATTTCTGTTGTGTGAATAACCTCAAGTTGCTCTTAAATCCATATGTATATGAATGTCCATGTATACACACAGCACATATTATGGATTATATTTAATATCTAGAAATAGAATCATTATTCTTTATTATGACTGTTCATCTACAAAAATATTATGCACACTGGCTCAAGAATAAAATTCCAGTATGATTTTCAAAGTTTGGTGTTTTTCTGGAAAGCAATTCCAATATTGATTATTTTTTGGCTTATCGGTAAAATGTTAAATACTTTTAAAATGTTTTTGAAGAGATAAAGAAGTTCTTCAGAAATGGAGAAAACAGGCCAGGAAGATAAGAGAAAAGAAAGGAATATTGTACACATATTCATCCCCAAAAGGAAATACAATGGTATGTATCAGCATATGATTTTATTCTGCAAAAATATGTTGCTGGTTCTTATAGTGAAATATGATATTGGGGTTCTCTGTATCCCAGGCCTAAATGCTTTATATCATATTTCATTGCAATTATTTCCCCATAGCTGAATTACATATCTAGGACAAGACACCTGGTGACCAAAATTAGGACTTCATTAATGCTATGAAATGTGCCAGACCATTCTGGATCAACTATAGCCTCTTATTTAAATTATACTTTCTTAATTATGTAAACAATTGTCAGTTGTAGGATAGCTGGTCATCTGATTTGGTCTTCAGGTAGAAAATGGAAAAGATGCATTCTTGATTTTGATGATTGGATGTGGAAAATATCTTGAAAATATATAAATAGCTGAAAGCACAAAAATTAGGACTTTGGCAAAATTCTCGGGGATTAAAGCATCTCAGATAATCTAATCATCTCTTCAAGGCCACAGGTATATTTCTGTCCTTAATCTGTTGAGTGATTGTCTCCAGAATGAATAATTGTATTTCTGTAAAAAATATATGGATCAGTTTATTTTGATAGGTCTTGTTTTAGAACCTCTTATTTTAGAGCCTCTAGCGCCAAAAGTTCCTTTTGGGTTAGATCTTGAGATCCATAACCAGATTTTCCACCCAAGGACACACACAGTCACACACACAGAGATGGAGGCAGTAGCAAACATCAGCCTTTGATAAGGGCTTTATGTTAACCCAATATATATTCACAGCAATTGTATTATCTGTATTTGAAAAAGGTAGTGATTTTTTTCCTCAGAAAAAATTAAAATTTAACATTTAAAATCACAGCTGAAAAAATAGTCTTGTTCTTCTAGTTTTAATATAACAGTAGAACAGATGTGGAATAGCCTACAAGAGCTACACCAATGCTAGCAGCATAAAATACATTTTCAGATCTTGCCATCTCTTTTTTTCCTATCTGAATTAATCATGTTTGTCTGTCATCTGCCTGCCTGCCTGCCTGCCTCTCTCTCTCACACACACACACACACCTAACTCACAAAATGTGACTCATGGCACATTTTTCCAGTTAAGATACTTACCAGATCTACATGGGGACCATAGCATCCTAGATCTAGAACTTAACCACTTGTTTATCTAGCTTAACCTTCTCCACCAAGATGGGGTCCTATGTAGATCAGTCCCCAGTAAATTAACTTACACAGCAAACTTTTTCTTCAACTTTATTTTAATTTATGACTACCCACCCCCAAAACTTTGGAGGAAGCATGTGTGAATGTAAGTAAATACTTACATCAGCTCTTTGCTGTGCAGCAAGACCCCATGTGTGCAGTAGGTGTCAAAACATCCTGCACATAGCTATTCAGAAGCTGTGGCTGCCCAAGCTGTTTGGAGGCGTTGAAACAGAAGGGCTTAAATTTAAAATAGGATTGTTGATGGATGTCTCCTGAGATTTTGCTTCTGCCAAATTGAAGTAAATGTAGGCTGGATGTTATAGTTAATCCAGAGAGAAAAATCTGTCATCGTGGGCCCAAGAGAGAAACTCTTTGTTTTGTAACCTGTAAATAGAGCAAGTCCCTCCGTTCATTTAAAGAACTGAAGTCTTCCTCTTCTCCTGGTGATCATGTGGATGGGCCATGAAGTTGTCTTTGACCACAGTGAAATTGAAGTGGAATGCATAGCTACATTTTTCTCCAATTTTCCCCTGCTGTCAGTCTTATAGTTCTGTGATTTTCAGGAGGTTATCTATCCAAGTAACAAAGTTCCAGTAGAGGAGAATATACGTAGCTCACTGTTTAACTGTGGAATGCTTGATGCTCTCTGAGCTTAGTTGCTTGCTTACAGAGTTTCATTACCCAACTAGATAATATCATCAGTGTTACTGATTGTTAAGTTTGCTCCCTGTGGAAGATTAATACTGATTATGTTACCTAGTTGGGTAATGAAATGTCTGCAAGTAAACAACCAAGTTCAGAGAGCACCAAGGACTTCACAAATAACAATGTGGTCCAACTCTGCTTTGCTTTACTAATGTAATTAGACAATGCCACTTGCTGTAACTCTATTTATTATACTTTAACAAAACAACCAATGAGAAGTCATTGGGACAGGTAAAGCTATATATATATGGATGATGCTTCTAGACTCAAAAGAATTGCATGTATCTGACTTTCATTTTTATTTGTTTAAAATATTTTAAGGTCATGAGATTGGGCCAAGTGGTTAGATGATCATTTCATTAATTTTATTATAACCTTTTTTTTTTAGTACAGTACAGTATTTTTCCCCCAAGTAATTGGGCATCCATTATTTAAATGAATCTATTTAAGTGAAGTTAAAATGAAAAACTGAAGGCTTAGACTATTATTAAAAATCCAGACAATTAATCACAATTGTTTGTTGTGATAGTGCTTTCTGACACTTAATTTGACGTCCCTTTCTTAGCTATCCATCAGAACTTGTTTACACTTCATGCTCAACTGTATCTTGCTTATCTATAACTTGTCAACTAAGCAGCACTTAAATACACATAGTGGCATAAGTCTTACCATAAATAATTATGTTGAACTCATTGAACTTACTAAGTCTAAACCTAATTGTGTTATGGTTTAGCACAGTGTACAAAACCCAAATCTAATTAAGGATGTTGATGTGGAGAAAAGAGTTTATTCTGCTTACCAGTTCAATGAAAATCCAATTTCAGGCTCTCCCTATAGAGAGACATAGGGAGAAGAAGGGTGCAATTCAGTTGATAATAGGCCATTGTTCCATTGAATCTTTAGAGTCTTGAACTTTGAAGATTCTGGAGCTCAATGAAAGAATTTGTTGTGATTACTAAATCCTTATGCTTTTTATCTTCACAATAAGAGAGGGACTAACCAATAAATCAAGGGTACAATTAAAAATGGTTAATAGTTACACCAAATTTAGTCTTTTATAATGACACGAATTTGGATATTTTGTATGTTCTTTAGGATATTTGAATATTATTTTCTTTGTCTTTCCCCTGAAATATATAAAAGACTGAAATATGTAGGAAACACAAGAGGGCACTACAACACCATAGTATTCAATTGCAATGAGGATGCAGGCTTAAGCATTAAACCAATAAGAATGCAAACCATAAAGGAACAAATGTGACTGTGTTTCTTCTATTTCTGTTCTGTCAGTTAATTAGGGGGTAGTTCTAAACATAATTTGTAGGTAAAATATGGCAAATTCATGATATAAGCAGGGCAGAAGAAAATGCTACTTGGTGTATCATTGCTAAATCTTATTGGATAGGTTGTAAAATGATTGTCTTGATTGCATGGCTGACCTGCTGTTTAAAAAAAGCAGGGCTACATAATCTTAGTTAATGTTGGGATGAGAGATCACTAAGAATTCCTAGGTTGTAGTTTGGTAAATTTTAAAAAAATCCTAGAAAAAAAAATAGCAAACCACTTCTGCATTGTTAAGTAAACAACATGACCTTGTTTGTGACAACATGAGGAATCAAACTTCTGAAGGAGACTTAACTTTACCCTTGATTGATTGCTGTATCAAACCACTGAATTCATTTATCTGAATGGCTTGGTTGGAAGATAAATTCAAATATATACACAAAGAGGCATGCATAGGCTCAGTGAGTGTTTTATGCTTTTTGTCACTTTAGGCATCCTTAACGTTTGTGAGAAGAAGCTAAGTTATTATCTATTGGTAGGTCTCTGGTTGTTTTGAAGTAAATTAGCTAGCCTTTCTGACTCTCAATGGCCTTAACAGTGACAATTTAAAAATCTTTTTCCTCAGAGAAAAAAATAGAAAATTGAAAACAAGTTATTGAATGACTGGCAGAGGCAAGTAACAAATTTTACATGGTCTAATAAAAGACTGAGGATTAAATGTAAGAAACTGCAGATCTCGGAAGACCAAGGCAATCTGGCAGCCCTGAACTTCAAACTGTATTAACCAGGATAACTGTTTAATTTGGATTACATATTGCATACATTATCACTCTGTGGTTGTGTTACCTTCTTTGAAGGAACAGGACTCCCAGATGGACAAATTATCTTTAGATTGAGACATATACAGAAATGAGATAATTTGTATTATGTGCAATAATAAACAATGTATTAAAGTTGGGAATAAATATAAGAAGATTTCCAAATTCTTGCCCCGTTGTTGTTTTTTTCATGAAGATAAATGTATGAAGAATTTTGTTCAGACAGACAACAAGTCATATATACATCAAAATGTGATAAGGCAAATATACAAAACCACCTGATCTGTTTCAATACCTTCAAATAACAATATAGTTTTTAAAAAACTGCAAAAAGAAGAGAGAACCATTAGGGACCTGAATGAATATGAAAACCTTTTTTTTTTTTTAGCGTTTGCCAGGTCTTGCTTATAAATCGCTGATGAATATGTAATTCAGAAACTGATATAATAATACAGACTTTTTTCCTAATTTGGCAACTTAAAAAGAAATGGAGAGCACAGGTGGAACATTAGTGAATTTGAGATTTGCAAATTCAGTTTTTCTATTAAATCCTAACCCTAACCCTTAAAACAATAGTATGGATAATTAATGTGGTGTGTAAGGACAACCTGTTGAAGGCCACTACATTCCTTACCCCAACTTTGTATTGTAATTCTTTTAGTTATAGAGAAGTAAACCAAACCTCTGAATTTCAACATTATTTTTGTTTCCAGAAATTTCTCTGGGCCTCAAATGAGTGTCCTATACTTTCTTAAAAAGTTTTTTTTTTCAAAATGAAGGTGTTGTGCATTGAAGCGAAATTTACTTAGACTAATTTTGTGTACTATGTTCTTTTAAATGGAAGTTTAATAAACTGGAAAAAAAATGCTTATATGTATCATTTTCAGCCACAAATTTAGGATTTGATAACTTATCAGCTGCTTGATTTTTTTAAATAATCTTCATGAGTTCTAGGTCAAGCATGCCAAGTCATGGCCATTTGTGGGCAGAAATGAATCTTATTCAAAGCATTTAGAAGCTGGGAT